GCCGGTGAAGCCAAAGATGTAGTTGATAGTCGCTCCGTAAGTACTTTGATGAGTTGCAGTTGCTGCTCAAACATTACTTTGAGTTGTTCTGCCTCCATCTCTCAAAACCTTCATCCAAACCACACTTAGGAGAAGGACACATTCTTGAAAAATTCCACTCTCTCTTCGTAAGAATTCCCGACCTGGGGAACTCCTGAAAGGGAAAACCTGTCCATTTCAGTTTTTCCGCATTGTTAATTATTAAGTTCCACCTCTACCGTGACCTAACCGGACGTGAACAAAACAACCACCGTGCGAGTAGGTGACCTCTGGCCTTGACCTCATGACGTTCTACTTGCCCGAAACAAATCTAGACGCGATAATTTCTAGGGCGTTTCTGGTGGAACACATCCCATTTCTCGTTTGATTTGTGAAATGGCGATGGAACAATTTCACTCCTGGCTTCTCTAGGGAGCTGTTTGTCTTCCGCCGGAAAGATCCAGGTCTTGTGTCATAGAAAAACAGGCCGGAGCAACCGAAAGTCTCTCAGTATACGGAATGTTAGTTATAATAGAATATGGCGTATTGACTGAAACAAAGCACTCCATATACCAGAGCTAGATAGTTTATATAGGTTAGACAGTGGTTCCCCGAACTTGAAGTCAATCTTGCACAGTTCAGTAATTGTCCCGGTCTACTGGCGCTGCATCCGTTTATTGGTCTTTCTCTATTATTGTATACATGGATAGTCTTCAGTGGGTACCAAACACAATTTCTCACCTCTGTTATATTCTGGCTCCCTCTAGAACCGTAGCTCCGGTTAGGCAATATCTCGAATTTAAGTGTTCTTAAGTGCTGCTTCTCATTTGTGGGGACTACCGTATATTGGTCCTCTGGAACGAAAATCACCCCTTGAAAATTCTTCAGGGTTTTTCACTTGGTTGGGCACTCTTCCTTACGGAACCACTGGTCAACCGTCCAATCAACTACTAGTGATGACGGCTCAGTTTCATGTAATTACAGTGTGAAACACTGAAGCCAGCGATGCATTTTTGTGGTCCCTACTTATTAGTACCAAATTCATAACGACCACTTTTGGCACCCTTTAATTTTTCACCACTGACCTACTATAAAGTGAAATTTCCCGATCCAATGCTTTTGACTGACCGTCATATCATTGATCATTCCTGATCCATGACGGCTGTGTCCGGCGCTTTGGTAAACCCAATAAGTCATAACAGCATCACACAAAATTTCATTGCTTGGTCGTGTGCTACCGGGACCAGGTACGTGAAATCTATTAGGTAAGATCTGGGTAATTTATACCGAATTCTGGCGCGGTGAGATCAATGTACCTGCCAAAGCCAGAGTATATATAACAGCAGAACGATCCACCCGACTTTATTTGTCGTCAAACCGACATGCGTGCACAGAAAACATACTAGGGATTCCATCATCTGACTACCATTGTCCTTAAGCGGTCTTCCGGATCTAGTAGAAACATCGAATTAGCAATGCTGAGACACGTCAGATGATTTTCGGGAGACAATCGTTGTACGATGAATGAGGGGCTCACGTTCCTTAGATGAAACTAGTTGGGCTACTTGTACCGTCTACCTTATCGGAGCCCCGTTCAGCCAAATGAAAGGTGGAAAAGGTCCAAAGTAAACCAACTACGCAGGCTGTGACAGAATAAAAACTTCAACCGCTGGGATGTTGTTTTTATAGTTAACGAAAATCGCAGCTTACTGCTCACAGACTCCCCCATTCAACCCGGACATTCCCAGGGTCAGGACGATCTTTAGATCCCTAGTAAGTCCTCCTTCATTGGGCTTTTCTTACCATACGAGAACACACGACTGACACTAATGTCTATTTTCCTTCTCCCAGGGAACAGTCCTTACTGAAGAACGGAGGGAAGGATCAGTCGTCAAAGACGTTAGGATAAGATACACCATCAACATGTTGACAGCAGGTCTTCCTTGAACACCTGTTTAATACATATTGCGAATTCCTGACTGTTTCATTAAAAAGCCGGCACGCCAGACTACGGTCTGTTGCATCCACAATGGCGTGCATTGTTTAACACACCACAGACACAATGGCTAGTCAGTCATTTGTCCGTGGGCCATAGAGATAAACTTCATATTTTGAGACCGTATTTACGACCTCCATTCGGTATACAGTCGTTGCGTTTTGGTTGTTTTGAGAGAGGGATTCACGCATGTGTTTAAGTTTTCGAAGTGGCCTCCCAAAAAAATACTCGTACTGGTGTTCAGCACCCATAACTTCGACGTGTCCCTGTGAAAATAAGTTCTACGAAGTTGCCGTTCGTCTATTTTAAACCCAAGCCTATTCACAACGGCAGTTCCGCTGTTTTCTTTCAGGTGGGCTATGTCGATCAGCCGGGAATCCAAGCTGAGTTACCTGAGTGAGTCCAACTATTTTGCGTTTTTTTGGCGGAATCTTTCGGTCTACACTCAAATCAGGTTCAGAAAGAAATGTATAACAGTTGCATTTAACTCTGATTACTACTGAAAGGGATATAGACTGTGTAATCACACACTTTTCTCTTTGTTTTCATCAACCAGCCAGTCCGTTTTGGCGCTTGTTTTATTTTGACATAACACTGTAACAAACTGATGTACATATGGTGACGGCACAGTCTTCGGACCACTGATGAAATTGTGCGCGTCCACTCGCCCCCTGTCCGGTAACAAGATGAAGAAACGTTTTCTCGTTTCAGAGCTGTAGTAGTTGTTGTACTGATTGCACGAAATCTCACTAATCTTCTTGATTACTGGACCTGATCCTCATGCCTGAAATTCGTTTAAAGCGATCAGTCTGTTTACAAATGTTGAGGGGATTGATCTACTTATATCCGAAAATGACTAGCCGTCCATTAGGAGACTGGTTATCGTGGGATCTCAGTGACACACCGGCATTGAGCTGTTTGGTACATTAATGGGAACGTTATTAGCTTGTTTATCGTACATTACAATGTGTTGTGTGAATACTGGCTGTGAAGTCGCAGTGAAGTCTGCTTTATCAAGTCCTTTGGACTGCGCAAACTTCGAGTGGGCATCCCGCTCACCCAGTGTTACACCAATTGCAGCACTTTCAGATGTTCTTGATAGGGCAATAGCATCATCAGATACCCCAGTTCTAACTGACATCCATATGTTCGTAAATGGACGAGGGAAGTAGAGATGCTATTCACTGATCACAGGTGATGACCATCGGTGGCATAAGGATGGACACCTTGGAAGAATCCGTCTACGGTTTGGTGGATAACGAGACCATTTTCGCCTGGGACGTGGTACAAACCCAAATATAGCTTATTGAATCCCCCACTTTTTATCGATTTGCTCAAACAGACATTCCATCTTTTTCGAAGTTTTTTTCTTACACCAGTTAAACTGATAATTCTTGTTCTATACTTGTCCTCTACTGTACTTGCTCTACACTCTCACTCCGGAAGCATTCTTGAATAGGTTTCTTATTGATCGACCAAACAGTTAAGCATTCTTTGAATGCTCGATACCGACCCATAAAGTACCTTTGAACAGCCTTCTAATGAGCTCGTACTAGAGAACCAGGGTCCATGCGTCTTTCTTGTTAACTGATAGTAGCAAGCAGTCGAGCGATAGTGTGATTACATTTCCCGACTTTCTCCAGTCGGATAGCTTTGTCTTCTCTTCAGGGGGCAGAAATAGGCCTAGCTGAGCTGAACAGTGCTTCGAACGAATCTGGAATTTGTCGGTTTGGAAAATTTAGGAAACTACATCCATTTTCCCGAACTCTTCCAAATGGCCCAAAACCGTATTACAGAATCTGAGCCAGGGATGCGCATTCTACTGACTGAATAATTAACCAACGTCGTTCTTTGCTCACATCCAGCTGACCGGTGTCCTGCCGTCAACCCCCCTGACGCATGTTTTACATGTGCCGGAGCGGGACGTGCACTTTTCACCAAATGAATTAGTTACAAGCTTGCTGTTAGCCTGAGGGCTAACCACACCCACAGTATAAGCACCATGTGAAGAATGTATTTTCCAACAACTGAAGACAGGTTAGTCACATTGAACCAAGGGACGCCTGCATTACGCAGTTCAGCACCCAGTTTATTACACAATTACAGTGGAATCGGAAAATGAATCGGTTGAATTTGAAAAGCATTCATCCCATGGCGCAAGTCAGATAAAGGTATCTTACTTTAAACCTTAGCTCCTTGAAACGGGATTCATCAGATATCTGGCAATGCGGTAGATTCGGTAAATAGGTAGATTAAATTTTAATTGCCTAATGTGTAACTATGGTACCAGATGTGAAGAACGTCCATGAACGTCCATCAGATTCTTGCATACATGAAATTCGGACGTGTCGAATCGCTTGCTGAATGCGTGATCAACTGAGATTGCCCTTGGAATTGTACATCATATGGGGAAATCTCCCCGAGATATAATGTACAGCAATCTTTCCCAGGGTCCAGAGAAGAGAACGGACGAACAGTAGACCCGATGAACGAGGATACATGTAACAATAAGGTTAAAAAGTTCGTTCAACATCTGGCAGCATGGAAGAATTAATGTCGAAATTGTCTGAAAGTAAACTACTTGTGGAAGACAAAACGAGATCATTGGATAAAGTGAATTTACACGAAGGGTTTGGGGGAGTCTGACATTCGATAGTTGAATATTTGGAAAAGAGATTTAGATAACTCTTACCTAAGATACCGCTTATACGACCACCGAGTCTATTTATCAAGTCAGTGCAATAGAGGAGGTGTGGTCAATGAAGTACAGCCTTGGTTTTTCTATTCCGTGTTAAAGCAACTGAGTGAACCAGATGCGTAGCTGTCTTTAGGAGCGAAATCGTTGGTTTGACTTTCCAAAATCGACACTGCTTGAACGGGACTGTTAACACAAATTGGCTTCACGGAGTCACACAGTTCGCAACAGGTTTCGTTGCCGACGTAAGTCTCCACGCGGGTACTACTCGGGTGATGAATTTCACTCGGGTTTCAGTGTGTCGACTTTTTAACTTCATCTCGCTCCCTGTTCTCTTGGGTACAGCATTTTCTCCTTCGAAGCTTCATAAATCATTACGAGAAGATCTGCTGGCACGTATTTGAATCGATCCAGATGACCGATTTGTTTTGAAGCAGTGGCTTAAATAACTAGCCGTATGGTCACACCAAATCGACGTTTTCGAATAAGGGGAGATAAGAAATCCCGTATCGTAAACTTTATTTCTCAGCAGGCCGATTTTATCTTCTGAAAAACTTCATGCATGCAGAGATATTAGTTTCGTTGACCAGTAGACAACCTAATAATGCATCGAGTGGTGTAGGTAGGTTTACCGTTGTGAGAAAGATGTTGGATCTCTTTAGACTCTCGGCAAAAATCCCAAGGGATGTAGGTGTTAACCAGGGATGGGATCGACAGACACGTTATGTAGATACCTAAATATAATAATCGGCGTTTGTACAATAAAACTAGACAGTTAGTGCTTTACGAACGGAATTCCCTGAGGTCGTATGGCGTACAACATCATTCTGTTTTCACCTGCGTGATGACACTGCGCGCTGTATTAAACAACTTGGTGGGACAGTGAGTCCGAAGCAGTTCACAACCTTTCAGTTGACGTATCTCAATGCTGCATTGACATACTTGAGGCGCTAGTGGTAGGAATTCAAGGCGAACAAGCAAAACACGGTAACCATGTAGGAAACGATGTAAACAAGCTTGGAGCTAGTGCATTCTTTTGAATACGTGCCTGCCGTATAGTATTATGTACTGTCTCAGATTTCACTGAAATATTGGCTACATTGGTTGTTTGGCACAGCGATGCACGTGACCTTACATTTGTCGATCGACTCCAATCTGATTGTCGCTAATCTTCAAACGATCTAACAAACATTTCTTAGATCAGTTGGGTCTGTAGTTCGCTTCACCTCACTGCGTGATGGTGCTATAACACCAGAGTGGTGTCTTCTAACCTGGAACGAGACTGGTATTGGAGCTGTTTGAATCAACGTGGATTCCGAATGATACATCGTTCTTCTAGAGTATTCCCATTTATAATAACAACAAAAGACTTTTGACGATCTTCATCCGGTCTAGCAGTTCCAATGGCTGGGTTTGCTTTGCTAGTAGGATAATCTGAGGAAGTCGATATCGTTGGTATAACTTGTGTTGTGAAGGTCCCCAACAACAACCAGATTTGTTCATGGGGGGAGATTCAGGGGGCAAAGCCATCCCACGAACAAGCCATTTTACGCGACACGGAGTGAGGTTACGGTGTCGGATTGCGGCTCCTTGAGTTATTGCAATAGTGTGCCGTTGAATGGCCCTCGGTTGAGACTCTTTGAAGTGACATCAAAAGCGTAAGTATAACGCTGTGGTCCGTGTCGCCCAAATACTGTGTCGCGGAGCTGTTTAGTGTCTTCCTCGCTTATGAAGCCAGGCAGAGTAGATCATGTTTCACCTATCCTTACGGAATCCTCCCTTGGATAACAAACAGGGAACCCGGTGCATTGAAAACACTGCAAGAGATAACATGTTTCCTGATGACCTTAATAGGAGGCGAGTGAGCAAACGAAAAGCAAAGGCCCAAATCTCTGCAACGGGAAAAGTCTTTTCTATTAGCTATCCTTTCAAAAAGGACACGTTTGCCGACCTGATGAACAGGGGAATTCACAGTATCTTGAACAGGGTCTTCTCCAAATCAGCACTTCGAACCTAGTTCACTGATAAACGGCTGATTACGCATGGCTCGGGTACGGGGAGTCTGTCCATGCGTGAAGTAGCTAAGTCCATTGTTTTACTCGCTGTCACTTATGACATAGGGTTGGGCAACTGGGCCGAACGGGAAGACAATAATCAGCTCAGTTGTACGGTACTTAGCTGACACGACACAGCGTCGCACCCAGCCGGGTTTTTCCTGCCGCCTTGCGATTAATCCAGACTCCTTGCAGTAGCGCACTGTTGCAGCGGCTGAGGCTGCCTCTATCCGACATCATAGTACTATTCTTTCCCGTTCAAAATGCCTTGTTTGCCGACTAAATCTGCCCTGGTCCAACTCTTCCCCATATATATATATATATATATATATATATATATATATATCTGTTTATATATGGAGAGAACATAGACGCCAAGCATACACTTATTGCTTACCGAGCACCATCACTGAACCGAGCAATTGCCAGCATCTGGCAAGCAACCACACGACCCAACCAACCTCGCCAAATAACATGGTTTTCATTGGTCCTCGAAGTCCACGGCTGCAAAGGACAAAACGGTGAAGGGCAATAAAGCCAG